AAACAAGCAATGACACCGATAATGACCATGCATCAGAACCCTAGTCTTAACCACTTCAAGCTAGGGAACAACGAATAGAAGATTAGGAATCACATAGATGAAGACTAACTAACTCATTTTTTCCTTGTTTCAATATCATCCTCGGTCCAGGCAACCCGAGGACTTATCACTATCAACAAGGCATGAAAAGTAACAAGGACTAAGATGTGTTCCTTTGATTACTGAAAAATCCTGTTCCCCTTATTTGAAGTAGTCAAGACTAGGAATCGGTGGTAGATCTTACATCCCGTAACGTACCACGAAAAGGTGATCTACCTACGTTACGGGGCTTTACTTAGATAGGACCCTTTGAAATGTTTATATTTAAACGCAGCAGAGCCCGGTGCCGATGATGCGATCCAACAGCTATTGCCGGGTAAATAAAGCCAATTGGGCAATCGGAACCATCTTTTAAGGTGGCATTAAAAACAAATGCTTCAAAAGTGAATAGGATCTGCAGTGGATGAATTTCACTCCTCAAGATGAATCTTGATCGAGCTGAACAAGGTTAAAATAACCAGGGATCGTTTGTTAATAACTTCTACTAAAATCTCAAAACAATCTTTCCAACACTTTTTTGCTAGGGTTTAGGGTAAATTAGCTGAACCTAGCCCAGAAGATATTCAGATATTTGGGGACAGTTTCGATCACCCTAACGGTTTTGATGGACCTGTTCTGTTCATGATCAAAGTATAAGGCTTGTACTCGAAAAGTGGGTGAAAATTGATGAAAATCTGGGTATAACTAGTTTGAAGTGAATTGTTTACATGTGCAAAATTTCAAAACAATCGGTTCAGTGGTTATTGAGATGTCATCGAAACAAGAAGAAAATCGCCGGAGAATTTTGCGCGCCATCATGGAAAATCCGACTGCGACCATGAGATGGATCGGAAGACAACTGGGAATCACCCATACAACTGTGTCTCGGGTGGTAAAATCGTTTAAGGAGTCCCAGACGACCGAGCGGTGGGCTGGAAGTGGAAGAAAATCGAAGACAGCTGACCCTGTGAAGGCCCGGAAGGTGTTGGATTATTTCAAGCGTAATCCGAACCTTTCGATTCGCGACGCGGCTCTGAAGGCAAAGTGTCCGGAAGGCACCGAACCGGCGTGATCAACAAACACGGCGGCCAAATCCTGCGCAAGGAAGCTGTATCGAGAGTGGTTAACGAAACCGATGTGACGCAAAGCAGATACCGGGGCTGGAGTTCTACGTTGCCAAACCACGGTTTGATGTTCCGGAAGACATAAGGAAGAAGAAAGTGGACAAATTCGCCAAAAAATACTTGCTCTGGCAGGCCATATGCCAATGCGGTAAACTGAGTAAACCGTTCATCACAATGGGTACCATCAACAGCGAAATTTACCGCACCGAGTGCCTCCAGAAGCGTGCACAGTATAAGCAAATTGCAGAAATTAGAAACGTGTTGTCAAAATCGGCAATCAATGTTTGTTGAGTAGTTACTGGAACTGAAAATATCACCATGATCGAGAAAGCCACAATGTTGGTTTGGACCAGTTCCAGGTCAAATAAGATAGATGGGCAATCATGCACATTTTTGCGAAAATTCGGCCAGTGAGATTTGTTTCCTAAATTTTGGATCGCAAATATCGAGTTTGCGATCTCGTAAAATTTTCACCATAACGGAATCTTGAACATTTTGGAAATAGGGGAAATGTTGTCTTCGGCAATACCTTAACCTATTATCGTCAGGGGGGTAAACAAAGTCCTAGTGCACTCAAATTTGGCCAAAACATGCTCTCAAACACAATTGAGCTCTCAAGGACGCTGTTGACCCCCCCGACGATAATAGGTTAAGGTATTTCCGAAGCCAACATTTCCCCTACTTGTTTAAAAGTTTAGCATCTAGAATATTCCTCGATGTTCCAGAAGAAGAAGAAGCCAAGAAGTATGGAAAAATGTTCTCGAAATTTGCTCAAAGGGCCAAAACACAAACTTTCCATATTCTAAAACCGAGGAAAAAACTCATGTTTGGGATACCGGAATACTTTTCAAAATGAGAATCTTAACAGGAAATGTCAACGTTCTTTCTCTACAAACTGACGTAGTGAGATCACCTTAGAGTGCTCATCTTGGTCCACACGTCCCTTACACGCTATTTTGAATCTACCCAGTAGCTGGGTAGATGGCACCCAGATGTCTTGTGTAGCCAGTCAAAATCTGGGTAAACTAGTTTTGTTTCGATGATTGGAATCTTCCCAGATTTTGGCGCAGATTTGAAAGGGAGATTGTTGCGCTGCCAGTGAAATGTTTACTGCTCAAAACATACAATTCTGACGCTAAAAATGTTACAGCTACGGAACTGTTTGGATTGCGAATGCTACCGGCAGCTATACTTAGTAAGTATATTGTTAGTTTCTGAACTTTAAACTTTCTTATAATTCTAGGTTATCCAGATATTCTTTGCCGCTTTTCTCGATGACAAATGTTTGTTGTTGTTCCTAATTTATAAAACCTATTTAAAATCAAATCTCAATAAATGGTGAGCATGTGTAGGCGTAGGGTGAGGTGAAGTTATGTTTGATAGAGCTGCTCCAGCGGTCATATCAACAAATTTCTATTAAATGGGTAAAGTTTACCAAGTCATCAAATGGCAACATCTGAGTAACCGTTACCCAGTTTCTGTCGCAAGTACGTTTATCCAGATTTGGGTAAATGCATGCTTACCCGTTTTTGGATAGGTTCAGTTTTGACCGAACTGGGTAGACTCTACCCATTTTTAAGTAGTATAGCTGCACTCAAAAAATTTATCACATATCTAATGGATGAAATTTCACATAGCTTTCCTCTTATGCGTATAACGGCAGTATATGTAGTCTGTATAATCTGTACTTTGTTTTACAACACATCATTGGGGCTATTTCTAACCTGTTGATGCAAACATAACAAATAAACAAATAAACAGATTGTAAATTAATGTTAGTATTTGACCAGTGATTGATATTTTCAAATGAAATAAAAATCAGTCCCCCTTATTCTGCGCCGCGAGTGAGGTGAGGTGACTCGCTGTCACTAGTGAGGTGACAAAAGTCACCGCGAGTGAGGTGACTCTCCATTTGATTTGCACGGAGAGTCACCTCACTCGCTGTGACTTTGTCACCTCACTAGTGACAGCGAGTCACCTCACCTCACTCGCGGCGCAGAATAAAGGGGAGTACCTCCAAACCAACTACCAACTTTTACACTGTGTGACTGATGTATCTCCGAGAGAGTGAACGATAGCCCGAAAGCAATATGGATCTACACTCCGTGGCCGATCGAACGTTTTTGTTTGCTCTTTCTTTGCTATGATCCGGGAGTCAAATCACACATGCTCAAAATTCATCCAAATATGTCTAATCACGTTCCAGAATTTGGAATGATCTAAAACAATGCTTAAGTTGTCCACTCCTTCACTTCCAGTCTTAAGACCCATTTTATCCTATAACCTTCAGCCTAATGCACCAACATAGTCTTGTCTTCCAAATACATTTCGCAGCCAATGATTTGTGACATGACACTCTTTCACAAATCTGCCCTGTTCTAAAAAATAGCTAAACAAATTGCTTCAATGAGCTTCGAGAAATATCGCGAACTTTTCCAACGCTTTACATGGTTCCTCAATGCTATTTAAGGAGGAACTATACAGTTATATGAGTTGTATTCACTCTGCCCTCTTTTCCGTCACACATCATCCAACATAGCCTTAGGCATATGAAAGTGTGTGTGTTTTTACATCATATTAAAATGTCCACATTGCTCTTTAAAGGCAACTACAGTAAACGCAAGCTTATTGTAATTTTTTACCAGTATCACTTGAGTAACTTAATGGGCTGTTCTAAATGAACTTGACCATCAAATGTTCAAAATTTCTAAGCTTGTTCCCTAAGGTAACATCAGTACAACATCAAACAACTCCCCTTTCGCTCTCTTCCGGTTAAACATTCCCATCCCAAACGCACTAAACCCGATCACTACAAGCACTAGTAGTTACTTCAGCAACGATTCTACAAACTTCCCTTTCGTTGCTCTTCTGTCAGTATTAAAAACAATCAATTAACGCTATAATATGAGTATACACAATTGTAGTACATTTTCCTTACGAATGGTCTTTTCAACACTTTCCCAATTATACACCCACGTCGAATCCCGTCTGTCAGTCTTTCTGTCTGTCTGCAAGTCAAGTCGACCGCGCACAAATGACGACTATCAATTAGCTAAAAAAAATGCGCCAAACAAAAAGGATACCAACCGGTCAAGTGTAGAGCACATGAACACATGAACCTAGCGATAATTGATTGTTCAACTAAAAAAAAAAGAAGTTGATTGAATGAAAAAGAAAGCCACACACTACGCGGATACCTCGTTTCTGTGTTTACACAAAAGTTACAAATTAAATCCCTGCGTTCGGTTTCCATGCATTTGATTAATCAGCTGCTCGCTAATCGTCGGACCACCCATCCAATGTGAACGGCCTGCGCGGAGCAGCATCACGAAAAAAAAAAACAACAAAACTAGACACAACAAAACAACATTTTTCTTCCTGATTTACCGGTTTTCCGTTAGGTTTTTTGTTTTGTCAACAGTTTACTGTATTCAATTTGATTCAATGAAAAGAATAATTGTAGGTATGTTGTCCCATTTTCTGGTTGAGGTTGTCCAATTGTTTCGATTCACATTCTCTTTAGTTGTTTCTAGTAAAAACTACCCAGCAGAGTAGATGGTAGATTCTCGCCTTGCTACTCCTACACTATATCATAGGGTTTTTCTTCTTCTTCGTATTCTTCTTCTTCTTCTTCGTATTACACATAAGTAATATCACACTCATGCAAACTCCACTACCAATCAATCCAAGCTTCCTTAACATCTACTGTACAGTTACAAGAATATTCCCAGACACTCGTCCTAGCATTTCTGGATTTCCTCCCACTCGCACGCTTGTCACTTAAATTATATTTCTAACGTGTTTTTCCTTTCTCTCTAATTGTGTCTAATATGTATAATTAATTAATCTTCCAATCCCGCCGCTTTGACCAGAAGCGATTTCTTCCACTACGACGAAGCCGTAATCGGATGCTGGGGCACCGCCGGAGCCGGAGGTGGCGAAACGACCTCAGCACTACTACTGCTGCTGCTGTTGTTGTTGTTGGTAGCCGATGTTGGTGACACTGGTGGAGGCATGAACGCCGGTGGCCCAGCGCTGTTACTGACCGGTGCAGACGGAGCGGGCATCACCACTGAGGATGTCAACGACGGCGACGACGACGCTGACAACGACGACGACGACGATGACGACGATGACGACGGGGACATCAGCGAGGTAAGCTGATCGGTCGACTTCGATGGAGCGGATGACATGGATGGGAGAGCTGCCGGCGCTGGAGGGGCACCCATCGGCATAGCAGGGTGGGAGTTGCTACAGCTATTGCTGGTACTATTGGCAATGATTGAGTTTAAATGCATAGAAGATTTGCTCGCTTCGGAGGGTTCCTTTTCCGAAAATTTCTTGGACTCGGTTTTGCTGCTGCTGCTAGTAGTGCTGGATTCGATTTCCATTGTTGTGAGGGGACCAATGCCGCGCGAACATTGAAACAGTACTCGACTGATGATGAGGGCCACCTGCTGGTCCAGGATATGACTCATGACTAGGCCTAGCAGCCGTTGCTCCTGCTGGAGGAACAAGGGTCGGTTGTCCGGGTGTTTAGCTAGATGCAGCAGAGTACCGGCCGCTCGTCGGAGCATGTCCAGGCTGGTTCCCATGGAGTCGGGATTATCCCGCAGGTAGTTGATACCATGCTGGTTGGCCACCCCCAGTGCAGTCTGTTCGGCTTGTTCGATGAATGCTACCAGGTAGGAAACGCACGGAGATTGCATGGCTATCGTCCGGGCCATCGCGCTATCCGCTGCAGCTAGATAATGTAACAGGTTGACTGAGAACTCCCGAAGGACTTGGTCCTCATTCTTGCACAAATGCCGTGTCAGAACGGAGCAGAGTTTTTCCAGTCGAGTGTACGGAGGCGTTGCTATCACAAGATCCACATTGGAATCGGTAACGCACAGTTTGCACAGGGCTTCCAGTGCTAAACGCTGCGGAGATAATACTGAGTTCGTTCCCATCGTTGGGAACGGATCCTGACCATGGGCCGATGGACATACGGACCAATGAAGTAGCCCGTCCAGGATAGGCCTCGAAATGGGCTCGTCAAATCGGGCCAAGTCGAGCTGCCCGGCAATGTTCGCCATCGAAACCAGCATGTTTTCCCGGAGTTGCACCAAAAAGTCCCACCACCATTCCGATTCGCCCTGTAAACTACTACACGAGTCCGAAAAGTCCGCATCCTCTTCCCGATCGTAGTTCCGAGTCTTCTTCGTGCGGATCGGATGCTCATGGTGAAGCAACAGTATTTTACCCAGAATCGATAGGAACCTCGAAGACCGAGAAAACTCAATCTCGTTATTTGGGACGAACGTCAGGTTCCGTAGAATATTCGAAATGGCCACGCAGCGCCTTGCCAGAGCATCGTGACCCTCCGTCACCAGATACAAGCTGGCCTCGTCTCGCGTGTAGCATTCGTCTTCATAGTCACTCATTCTTCGGCGTTTCAACACCTTTGCCGGATCCTGAATCGTAGCCGCGACGTTGAACTTCTTTTCGGTAACTTCTTGCTCTTCCTCGTTCACCTTGTTGTCACAGTCTTCTTCGATCTCCATCTTCACTTCTGTCTTGGTGTCCGCCTCTTCCTGCATCGGTTCCTCCTGCGGACCATTCGACAGGCTACTCTTCTCCAGCTCCATGTCAATCTCCCGACAGTCGGCGTCGCTCGACGCGGTCACCTCGGGTACTTCCTTCTTCACCACAAAACTATCGACACTGGCTTTCGAGTCCTCTTCCGCCTCGGTGGTTTCCCCGTTCACTATTCGATTCTCCCCATTTGTCCTGCTGTTATTATTATTGTTGTTGTTGTTGTTGTTGTTATTGTTGTTGTTGTTGTTGTTGCACTGTTCGCTATCACTTTCCTCCTCTTCCACGGGCTTTCGCTTCAATGTTCTATTACTGCTATTGTTCTTGTTGTTGCTGCTACTATTGTTGTTGTTGTTGTTGTTCTTGCATCTGATCTTATACTTTTTACTAGTTTTAATCAGCCTAGCAAATGGAATGTTTACAAACTCGGCCTGGAACGTTTCCATAATGTAGTCGTGGGGATCCGGTTCCGAGTGTCCCGCGGTCCACGGATCTCCGCCGACAACCGTTTCCCGATGGTACCGATCGTCCGCCGTCCTGTCCCAGTCCCTTCTGTGGTTCAGCACGAAGACGTCATCCTCGGCCGGTTGAATCTTCACCGGAAGACCCTTCCTCGAACTCATCGTATAGTTTGTGGTCGAATTGAATACCACTATCCGATCCTCCGGATTCGGTGGATCAATCACGCAGCCCAAATCCAGTTCACATCCCTTCCTACTTTTCCGGTACTCTCGTTTCCTTTCGATCCGAAAAGCCCGCTTCAGTCCATCCCGTTCCTCTGGCTCTCCATTTTCCAACTTAATGTCCTCCACTTCCTTTTTCACCTCGACTGCTTCAATGGCCTTCCTCTCGGCCGCACCATCTTCCCTTACCTCTTCATCTTCTTCATCCTCCTCGCTTTCATCTGCCTCCTTACCGAACCACCCATATGCTCTGCCATAGGGAAGCCTCTTGCGGTCCTTTGTGTCGAACATGTCACTCAAACTCTTCTGGAAGTGGTCCAGCAACAGATTTAACAGACCTGGCAAATGCGTCAGCCCAAAGTACGCCACGGACGAATCGTCGAACAGCAGAATATTCAGCACATCTAACGCCCAGGTACTCTCCACTAGCAGTCCGGACCGCAGTGCCATAAATATCCGCCAGGGGTCCGTTTGGCCAATGTCAAACTTGCTGACTCGCTTCCTTTTGTACAGCACCGGCGTCGTGGATTCAATACTATCCGATGGGAATACAATGTCTCGCTTGGGTGCAACGCTACTCGCCGGAGGGAACGGTGCCTGGGGCATCGGTTTGGCGCCAACTTGGGGTGTGGCACAGGGAACCGCTTGTGGCCCACTGCCAACCGTTGGACCTGCCACGACAGGACCCGCACCCGATGGAACACCGGGTGGAACCTGTGGTTGCGCAGCCGGTGGCATACTGCTGGCCATTCCCGCTTGTTGCATCGATGCGAACGGTTTGCCACCTCGCTGCGGGGGTCGCAGCGGAGAACCTTGTGATGTTGGTGGCATCTGGGTCCAAGGCTGCTGTTGAGTCTAAGGGGCGAGGAGGAACAAGTGGTCACTAAAAGATCCTCGAAGGAAGTGAGAAAGGACTTACCTGTTGATGAGGCGGATACGGCGGTTGCTGATTCGGAGGGTACCGATTGGCGTCGGCACTCCATTGGTTCGGTGTTCCGGGAGCACCCGGTGGAACACCAGGTGCACCGGGTGGACCACTCGGGCGGGGTCCGTTGTGGGTTCCCCACTGTTGCTGGGGTCCCTGCGGGGGATACTGTCCACGGTACTGACCTGCACCTCCCTGCCATCCGCCAGCTGCGTGGAAGAATTTAACCATTAAATCTACTTCATCAGGCTAATCAAAAACGGGACACTTACGATACATCTGCGGTCGCTGTTGGTAGGGTGGGTACGGTTGTTGACTCTTCTCAAAATCTGGATGTCTCCTGGGCTGATTAGGCTGATTATGGGGGGGGGGGGGAGGTAAATCGTATATTATTATCATTCTGAGTTAGCATCAGGAATTTCCGATTGGACTAACCTGATCTGGCCGGTAGTAGTCCGGTTGCTGTGGTGGTTGCGGTGCCGCTGGATATCCCTGGCCCTGGGCAATGGTAGACGGAGGTTGCTGTCCGGGTGCACCGCTGACCGGTGGTTGACTGGCAGCACCCGGTGGTCCGGCCGGGGGTGTCTGCGACGGTCCGGTACTGACTGGCGGCGGTTGCTGGCCGTACGGTCGCTGCTGTGGCGGTGGAGGGTACGGACCACTGCCATAGCTTCGATACGGATCGGCCGATGCTGGTGGGGCTGATCCCGGCGCCGGAGGGGTTGACCTTCTGCGAAGGTAAATGTCATTCAATGAAAGATTCTTAAGACTTGGGATATAAAAGCAACGCACCCTTCGCCGGATTCCGGTGGCCCGTAGGGTGGATACATCGGTCTATTAGCGGGTGGATATTGACTTTGCTGTCCCGGTGGATACTGGCCTGGTGCGCCACCTGGTCCATACTGATCCGGAGCACCATACTGGTAGCCTCCTGGTTGGCCCGGATAGGGAGCACCTAAGAAGGGACAAAGAGCACCATTTTAGACGGCAGTTCAAAATCGAGCGATTGCGACAACTTTACAAAATTTGTGACCGTGATTGTGACTATGACTGTGTAGGTATTAGTGTGCGAAAAATGAAACTGTACCTTGTGGTCGTGAAGCCGGTGGATAGGGAGCACCCTGCTGATACGGTGGCCTTTGCGGGCCGACAGGATCATCGAAGGGATTGCTCACACTAATGTTATCTCCGGTGGTCGGTGGTGCCGAGCCTACAGACGGGTGCAGATGGTTAGAGATAAAATGACAAAAATCGGGAAATGCGAGATTAGTAAGGATGTGGAAAGTGTGTGTGTGTGTGTGTGAGTGCGCGTCTGTGTACACACTGGTTGTGCAATGTTTTGACTATTGTGTTACTGGGAAAGGGTTTGGAGGATCAGGTTGTCGTCCCTTAAGGGGCTGTTCACAAACTACGTAGGCAATTTAGGAGGGGCAAATTTTATAAATGTACCATAATCCGGGAGATTATCGAAAATATTCCAAATTTCTACAAAAAGAAGATATCGACCAACTTAGCAACCCCTCATAAGAAGCAGTTTGCATTATGTGTTTAGAAAAAATGGAGACTTCAAAATTTTCACGCTAACCGAGCTAACCACTATTTTGGGTTGTTGTGGTGGGCACATCGTTAAATCGTTAACCGTAAAGCAACGGCGTTAATTTTATGTTAACGAATGATTCCGTTGAATAGGAAAACCCTTAACGAACTGATTAACGAGCGTTAAATTGTGCTTCGTTAAATCGTTCATTGATTTTAAGTTTATGGATTTGTAAAGGCTGACTAAAAATAAATTGGTACGCACAAAAAGTCCTATAATTCGTGATTCAATAAGTTCAATAAGTTTACAGTACTTTTATTAAAACTTCAAAGTTACAGCATTAGATGGTTACATTTCTCCAGTTCGAACGAAATCTCGAACCTTCCTCTTGATGGAGCCCATCAGCGCCCGCACAGTGGAAACGCACACGGAATCAGGGCTTCCATTTTGCCCGCATTTGCTGGATGTCCTTGACTGCCCCGCAGCTTTGTCGAAGTCGCTGCTTTGAAATTCCCCAATATTTTTCGATTGGTCAAAATTACGGGCAATTCGGAGGATCTTGGAGTAGTGGCAGCTGACCAAATCGGGCCAAAAGATGACTTTGCCCCTATGATTGCGGACGAACGGCAATACACGCTTTGTCAGGCATTCTTTGATGTAAACTTGGGATGTCATCGTCGAGGATGTGACGAGTGGTTCCGTTGTCAGGCCACAACTGCAAATCACTTGCCAAATCATGGCCTTCTTCGCGAACTTGTCGGCAAACACGAACTTGAATCTTCCCGACATATTCCCTCGTCCAGTCGCGATGTAAAACTTTTGACCGGGAATCTGCTTAAAATTGAGTTTGATGTATGTTCCATCATCAAGCAAAGTGCAGCCCTTGTGATTCGTCAAACACGCTTTTGGGCTACGAAATTCTGCTTCATGTGCCGGTTCGGATGATTACTGACTTTGTACGACTAGTATCCTTCCCTGGGCAAGGATGTTCCGCACCGTTTGAAAGTTGGCGTTGTACCTTCTGGCCACACCTCGGATCGAAAGACCGGGGTTGGCTTTAACGCACCTGCGCAGCTGACGATCTCTGGTTCCAGTTTTTTCGTTGGTCCGCTGATTCCTTTCCACACTCAGGGTATCCTTGTAGGTTTTGAGCACTCGACAAACTGTTTTTTTTTCGGCATCTTCAGAACTTTAGCCAGCTTGGAACCGGACCACTTCCGGATTTTCCAGATGTTTGTGCACAATATTTTTTCTTCTTTCGAGTTCCATGTGACGTTATTACCGGACGCTATCGACTACTTTGATCGAACTTGCATCAGTTCAAGACCAACAATTGAAATGGCCTTAACTCCATTTTGTAAACAAACCTTGTAAGGCCATTTTCTCGCGAACCGAAACCTTCATTCGCAAACCTTAACCACAATCGGGTAGAGGAGTATTTCCCCATACCTGTTCATTGTGTTGGTTTGCCTTTGCGGAGTTAAGGCCATTTCAATTGTTGGTCTTGAGTTGTTCTCTGAGTTTAAACAAACCACTGGCAAAGATTTCTGATTCCCAACACTAGAAGCGTGCTAGCGGCGCGCGAGGGTGTACCAATTTACTTTTAATCAGCCTTTAGGTTTTAAGACATTCTACAAGTCTAAGTCATGGTCTCTAGAACTCTCACAAAACCAAAATTGTGACTTGGGTTAGGCTCTCTGCTCAAGTTGTCCTAAACTTTGTTTATTACTTCTGGAAATATACTGAGAAACAAAACACACCTGATCAGAAGGACAAACGTGTATAAGAGAGTTTACGAAAACGCGATATTTATGTGATTTGTTATGCGATAGGGTAGAGCGCTACTTCTTCATAATCGCACATTTATGTTCTATTGGTCAGAAAAGATCAATAATATGAATGATTTCACCGTGCACAAATCAATAATAGGTTTGTTCCGATGCGTTAAAAGGTGAACGGTGAATAGATTTAGAAGTCATCTTTGATAGAAATATTCCATTTTTTGTTCAAACCCGTTCAAAAGAGAAAGGTAAAGCGGGGGTTGTGTTTGGTAGGACGGAAATTAGATCAAAAAACCTATCTATGTGTTTTGTGCATAGGAAACAATGTTTAGACTAAAAATAGATTTTCTGCATACAGATCGATTTAACATATTTGTGGAAAAAGGTACTAAATTTGTACTGATAGTTGATATTCTACGATTTTTGATTATTTTAAGTGTCCATTTAATAAAAGTTAGCATTTTTGATAGTACGCAAACATAAGCTTAAAAATCTTAAACCTACATTTTTTTGTTATTTAAGTTTCAACAGTTTTTTTTATTTTTTTTTATTTGACGATAATTTTCCATTTTTTTTTTCAATGTGTATTGATCTGAAAAGGCAATACAGTTTCCTACACCTTTGTCTCATACGTCATTTCGATTTGAAGAACCGTTTTCGTGCTATGATTTATTTAAAACTATTAAACACGCCCTTAGTGAACAATTATATAATTAAGTTTCATGAAAATCTGAGGGAAACTGTGTGGAACTGCTCGGCCCATAAAAGCATAACACAATCCCATATGAATTATTGTCAGAAATGAGTTATCCGTTAGAATAGATTGTTAACTATCGGCATTTTACACGGTGCATTAAAAGTTACATGTTTTGTCCAAAAAATATCGTGAAAAATAGCAAATCTAGGTTGTCCCATCCATAAAAGTCAACGGAAAAATCAATTTTCAATAGCGTTTTGCCCGGCTTGCTGTGTTTTTCTATTTGGGACTGATATGATTTTGTGGACAGTGCTCAGCTTCGATTATGCCATAGCGTTATCAAAAGCACCCTCAATATCAAAGCAAACACCCAGGTCGGATTTCTTTTGAGCGAATGTTTTTTTCAATATCGTATACAACTTTGTGTAGCAGAGTCATTAGCAGTGACGGCATAATTATTAACAAATTGGTATTTTTCCGCTCTTGTACGCTCTCAATATAACGCGTGATATTGGAGCATAATATCATGCTTGATATTGATTTTACAAGCTCCTTTGACATTGCGAGACTATTCACAACGGGTCAAGTTGAAGCTGAGAGTTGAATCGAGGCAAGAATGATTCCGTTGCACCTCGTTTTCTTAGAAAGAGAAGGTATAATAATGCTATCTCATTTATCTCTTCACCGATGGCAGCCACGAAGCGACTGCTGCCAGCCGTTATGGAAGTTTCGGTTGCGTTCGGGTGTAAAGCAAAAATCATGAAACTCAATCTCACCACTGTTTGGTGAGATTTGCAACTGGTGAGTTTTGTTAGCTTGATATTCTCTGAGCAGCGATATCACAGCTTGCAATATCAACCGCAGTCTGTTCCCGTACTTGCTTTTTTGCTTTTGCTGTAAGTAAATAATATGGTGCAGAAAGTACGGGCACATACTATTGCGATTTTCTGTACAGAATCTTTCAGAAAAGCAAGTACGGGAACAGACCTATTGTATACTTCCCTGTATATTATCAATAAATTTACTCTGATTTTTCAAATTATTTGTATGGGAATTGCACTTCGTAACTTCGACTGACGAACGGAAGGTGTTGCGTACCATCTACAGTGGAGTGCAGATGGATGACGGAACGTGGAGGAGGCGAATGAACCACGAATTGCACCAGCTGCTGGGAGAACCATCCACCGTACAAATTGCAAAAATTGCGCTACTACGGTGGACTAGGCACGTCGTAAGAATGCCGGACGACGACCCAGTGAAAATGGTTCTCGAAAGTGACCCAACAGGAACAATTCAAGGTGGATCGACCAAGTAGAAGGCGACCTGCGGACCCTTCGCAGACTACAAGGCTGGCGACGTATGGCCATGAATCGAAGTAGAGTGGAGGCGACTTCTTCGGACAGCAGATTACAGCAAGGCCTAAGCCTGATTGGTAAGGTAAGGTAAAGTAACTTCGACTGCCTTTTATTCAATGACTACTATTTTAATATGGGACTGATATGCGTTTATCGATGCGCGATGCGATACTCCTTTTAGGAGTTGCAATATTTCTCGCCCAGCCCTGTTTCCATTTCCCTTCCCATTCCCATTCCTATCCTTTTCCTACCTTTCCCGTCAGGTACATGATGAGAAAGGCTGTAGGAAGACCGGGCACAAAACTCCCATCTGTAGCGAAACGTGCCACTTAAGCCCACGATCTGATACCTGATTAACTTCAAATTAAATCCCACCATCTGGGTCAAAGATCTACACTCTAAAAAAAATTTCTCGTCAGATTTACGTAAAATATCACGTAACTGATCTGTATTAAGAAAACCTTGAATGCTTCAACTTGGGACTTCGATATTGGCGCAAAACGAAATTGATGTGATTTTCAGGTATGAAAAAAAAAACAATATGGTGTCGCCGTCATCAAAGATTTAAAATTTGCCAGCAAGTTGCTTTGATTCTTTTACTTTAATTTATTTATGATTATACAGCCATTCCCTAGCAAAACGATATAAATATTGATCCAAGATCTTATGGGACGAAGTGATTCCGGAGAGTGTTGAAGAAAGCTGGATCAGTTTTGCAAACAGTTTCAGCACCCTGGACCAAGTACGAGTACCTCGTTGCTATTTTCCTGGGTATGTAACGCAGTGTTACCAAACATTGGAGCTCCATATATTTGTGGACGCAAGTCTGTCCGCTTTGGC